CTTTCATTGTGAGGACAAACATGCTTCCTCTCTTCGAATATTCTGCCCTTGCCTGTATTACGAATCCATTGAGAAGACATTCCAAGACCCTTCCATCTTTGAATCCCTACCCAACGAACCATCCTCAATCGTGACCTCTCTGGTTGAATCCCTTCAATGCCAACACGGACGTGCATACCCGTGGGCAGTGGGATCGGGTCGCCAGCTCCCATCTGGGTATATTCTGGCCAAAAGGAAGAAAGACTTCCGCAGTGGAAGGCCGATTATTTCCTTTGTCGATTCCCCATTCAGACCAATGCTCAACATTCTTGCTCGACTCATTTTCCAGCTTATCCCTACGGCATGCCCAAATCATTTCGCTACTGGCGATGTGTACACTCTGCTCTCGATATTGCGGTCGGCGCCTGTCGACGCCGATTTGATTTTGGTCAATCAAGACTTGGCCGGCTTCTTCACCAGTATTGATCAAGACAGATTCCTTCGTTCCTGGTTCGTGCTCCTAGACTTTCTCCGGCCCAAAATGAATGTCTACGATGAGGAGGTCTTCTCTGTCTACCCGGGAAAGTCCAACAATCCAGGAGACATCATCAAAGGCCGAACCTTTCGTCGCCTCAATGTCACTCGGAAGATTGTCATCGGTGATGTGCCAGATTTGATCAAATCAGCCTTGCATATGCAGACATTCGCCTTGGGACAACGATGCATTCGTCAACGCCGTGGCAGTCCCATGGGCAGTCCTCTTTCTCCTGCCCTATGTCTCATGGTCGTCTCCATCAGTGAACAGATTTGGTACCACACCTTCCACCAACTTCTCTCCAATCATCACCTGTTCATAAAACATGTCCGCTACGTGGACAATCGCCTCATTTTCGGTGACAAACGCCTGACCTCATTTGATCCATATGAAGTCTTATTGGATGATGGCTTCTATGGAAAACCTATTATTCTTGAAACTGAGCCAGACCAAGAATTCCTTGGCTTTATGATCGAAACAAAGCCGCTTGAACTGATTTACCAGGGACCAACACAGGTGTCACAAGTTCTCTCACCATTCTCAGCTTCACCTCCTTCAGTCCTACTCAGCGGTTTCTGGTCAAGATGTCACATCGTCATCAAGGGAGCTTTTCCATCCCTACGTGTCCAACAAGGCTTGTCACAATTAATTCGATTATATGCACGAGCTGGTTTTCCCAATGAGGAACTTCAGGCCATCTCCAACCAACTTTTGATTCAGCATCAGAACTCGTGCAGTGCTGTTCTCAAAAATTGCTTCTGCTGCTTTTTATTGGGTTGTTTTCCTTGTGGTCCCGGTGTTGCTCTTCTCTCTTGTCTCTGGTTTCTGCCTGTCCCCTCTCGTGGTTGTTGGTTTTCTGTTGTCTCTTGCTTCTCTTCTTCAGCTTCCTGGCTCAAGCTCCGCTTTCCTTTTGCTCCGTCTTCGTTTGAACGCTCATGGATCATGCTCAAGGGCGAGCGTTCCATCATCATTTGGCTAGAGCTATTATGCACCTCAACTATCTGGCAGGGCTCTTGCCTTTCTTCGAGCCCTCCATTGAATATGATGAAGCGCCGCCTCCGGCCAATTTCCGTCTTGATCATCCAACAACCAGAGGCCTGCACACGTTTGTGCCCCGTCCAACATCCGAAGGTCACCCGACCTTGGTATCACATGGCGGCATCCCTTCCCACATGGTATTGAATCCAGAACCATACCTGCGACCGGCATCAACAAGCTCTCCACCAATCAATACATCTATTCTCACCACTGGTACTTCTCGACCTGCCAGTCTTATGACGGACCCTGGTCCGAATCCGATTCCTGGGTCCACAACAACGATTACCTTCCCTACGGCACCAACACGCACTACCACACCCGTTCCACTGCGATCAAAACAACGGTCATCATCTCTGGTGGACCCACAACCAAAAAAGAAACAGAAAGGGGAGTCCATTCCTGAACCTAGACCCGCCCACAATCCTGATGCTGACCATTCGACATCGCTACCAATTATATCAGACGCCCGATCAGGCGACATGAATTCTGATGACTCCGATGGTGAGGCTGCGTCAAGAGAGGACATAAGCTACATTCATGGTGGGAAAGCAAGACCCAGAACACCTCCTCTTACCTTGACTCCCAATCCAAAAGCTCCGCCGTCTCCACAGATGCACATCCTTCAGGCTATTCCTGCCGCTACACCTCCTGATCCGGCTCGTCCTTGGACCCGCGCTGACGACCAAGAATTGATCGGCATGAAACAGGACACAAAGTCCAGACCTTCGTGGAAAACAATCGGAGCGAGACTCCATCGAGATCCTCAGCTCTGTAAGTTACGCTGGGGACTTTTGAAACAGACATCAGAAGTGAATGACCCACCGGGTGCAGTTAACCCACCTCATGAACTTGAGGATGATGACTGACTCTAGCATCAATCCCTGCGATGTCGAAAAAGCGTCATTGCTGCCTCATTTGGGGCTGTTGTTACCTTGGTCTTCCTTTCTTCTTTTTTCCTTTTGCTTTTCTTCTTGTCTTTTCTTTGGGGTTCTCACCAATGTTGTTCTGTCTTTCTTTGGCCTGCGATGAATGTTCTAACTCTTTTTTCTGTTCATCCTCAGCAAGTATGGCTCATTCATATTCTCGTCGACGAACAGCTCCTGAACGCTCCCGCTCTCGGGACGACAATATGTGGCAGAACCGTCGCACTCAGCAACATGATTGGCAACAAAATCCTCGACCTGAACAACCTCCTCCTGCTCCTCGAGTCCGAAAGGTCTTGGTCATCGTTGACATTGAACAAGTCCGTCCACTTATGAACAAAACCCATGATGACTCAATGGCCGCTACAACATGTGAGGTTCTCCCTCGCCTCACTCCGGTCGAAGAACGTGCATTGTTCACCTACAATATTCTGCTCAACACACACCGGTTGGAAACCTTCACGGTGTACAACCTGTTGTACTGCATCAGCCAGCATATCTGGTATACGTGGGATCGATTTTATTTCCTTCATCGATGGACATCAGATGGCAAGACGATACTGGAGATACATTTGCTCTCCGCAACGAGGAATACCTCATTACCTATCTGAACGCCTATCGCTCTCACTGGACTGAGGGACAAGAACACAGTGAGTTCTTTTCAAATAATATTCATTTCTTTACGTCTCACATTCAGCCTTATATCATGCGTGTGAGTTGCCATGAGGCACTTCCAAACCGCAACATGCTTCCTTAAGTTTGAAAAGTCTCCTGCATTTAGGGCTTTGGGACTTTCCCGCTTGCAGTTGGTGGTTTTGGTTTTTTTGTTGATTTTTACCTGTTAAAGTCTTTAGCTCTTGGCTCCAGCTGTACCTTGACCAAATGTGATTCCTCATTTGCCGGTATCACGCATCCTTCATCCTCCATGAGCAAGCCACGTCGTCTTTCATGGAGATCTCGCAGTCATGGCCAACCCAGTAGCACTGCTGCTCCTTCGGGTCCGTTGCATCCTTCCCGTGGCGACAATGCTCCCCAAGCTGGAATTTCCCTCACACCTACCGGATCAGGTGAGGACACACCTCACTATGGGTACTCTTCGGCAAATCTTGCCACACCCATACCATCTCCTGCCGATCATCAAGCTCCAATTCTCCCTACTCCTACAGGGGAATCATATCCACTCCAGCAAGAGATGGAAGAAGTCAGACGTCAGCTCCATGCATACTATTTTGTCGAAGTCCAATCACCTCCAGATGACGACACCCAACCGGCGCTTCGCCGACTTATGGTGACGGAAGTGGATCGACGTGGCCGCCATCACAATAGACAGCCGGAATATTTTTCAACGGCATCATAGGCCACGTTCGTGCCGGCCAAAATGGCTGGATTGACTCATGGGATCAATCCTCCCAGCTCGCCAACTACTGGCGTCGCTATTTTCAGATTCCAGAGATCTCTCCGTATGGAAATTGGCGTCCCCATCAAGAAGAAGTTCCAGGAAGCCCTGAATCGTTACAAGAATCCGTCATGGATGACGCCGATTCTCTCATTGCCAATGTTGACATCAATCCACCTCCTGTCCAGATCCATCAACTGGCAACGTTTCTCAACAATGACAGGGAGGCCAACATGGCCATACTCGAACGTCTTGAGGAACCTGAAGGAGACCTTTCCCGACACCCAGTTCAGATCTTCTCGGCAGCAGACTTGGCTCATCTTGCTAGCCACCTGGCGGAATCTACAAGGACTTTGTCAAACCAGGCACGACGCATGGAGGCACTACCTGATGACGGCCTGTGAGCTTTAGGATTAATTCATTTGATGATTCTTCCCTGTATTTTGAAGCCAATTCCGCTTCAGGGAACGGATAATAGCCTTCACTGCGGGTGAACTTGAAAAAAGCCTCGCGGCAGCGAGGCGTGTGTGTGGAACATCTGAAAAGATGTAAAACTTCCTTTGGCTCGATGATGGTTGATTTTCGTGATTTTTAGTTTTTGAATCATACTTGCAGGGGGATGGAGTGTGCTTCAGATGTCTCCATCCAACGAAGACGCATCTGTTGCACAGTGATATGGATTGGGGACGCTCAATCCACGTACCTGCTCAATCTTTTTCATTTTCGTCCATGGCAACCGGCTAAGCCAAGAACCGGCATGTCGATATTTTCCACTTGAGGGTTGTCTACTGCACTGTTGTCGCAATCTGGACTTATTTGGTTATTTACAACTGGTTCAGCTGCATCTGAACCTTCCTCAGAGAAAGGACGTGGGAAAATTTTACCTCGCACTGAATTTCACGATGGATCAACCAATTTTTCCTGGCAGTTTTTAAGGGATTGTTTTGTGCACGTGAGATGCATTCCACAACAAAATTCGCAATGTTGTTTCTGAGCAAGTGTGTGTTCAGTAGTGTGTCCTGCATTGTCCTACTGTGTTTCGCAAAACAGGCCGACTTTTTGACCAAGTTTCAAAAACTTTGACCATATGAGAAAGCCTGGGTAATGACTAATGACTGTCTCTTCCAGCCTACTCTAGGCCATCATATGATGCTCTGCATAGTTAACCTGACGCACAAACAAGTGTTGGTTCAATTCCCACAGATTACAGTCTGTCACGCAGCTGTTCTATGACTCTGAAGCTGAATCATTTCAATATTTCAGAGGCTCACAGTTTCGACAGCTTTCCCTGCCTTGTCCAGGAAATGGAAGAAGTTGGCCTTGCGACAGCTTGAAAGGTTTCATGAGTTTATCAGATCTAGTAGGATATTGTGTTGCGAGCAGCCAATCTGTGTTCAACAGCAAGAACTCAATATGTCAATATGTGCATAAAATCGCTCGTCGAGATTACAGGAATACTGCATAATACTGCGCTGTATGTGGCAAAGTATTAGGAATGTTCATGACATTTCATGACTGATTCATAACGTTGGTCAGCCGCTTCACAGCTTCATATCGATGCACGTTGCTTCCCAATGCTTCCCAGTTACAATAATCCACAACACGCCGCAGGCAAAAGCCAAAAAGCAGCTGCTTCGGTACATGAACCTGCAGCCATCTGCGGCCGCAGCCAATTTACAAACAACTCAACCGTCATCAACCGTCATCAACCGTCTCAACCCTTGGCATCCTTGGAATTCTGCGGCTTTGTTGAGAGATTCAGAGGCGCCTTGGACTCACCGCTGTCGCCATAGTACTCCTGGTCAAGCTTGCCTTCGGGAAGAGCACAGGTCACAAATCGGCACAAAACAGAAGAGAGGTGAGGGGAAAGATGAGGAAAGCATGGGAAGGGAAACAGTACGAGAGAACAAACAGAAAAATAGGCTTTGGGACCGACACACGAACAATGATCGACAGGATGTGCATGAAAATCCAATGCAAAAGCCCATGTTTCATCGATAAAGGCGCGGACCCACAGCGCAGCAATCGTGGCTGTGCCTCACACCGAATGTTGAAGCAAAACCACTGCAGCAACAATGGGTTTTTCAACATTGATATCATATATGCAAGCTATGTGGATCACATGTTACGATCATACGTACATGTTTACAACACGTTCACCGAAGGCTTCAGGGTTCGCTGAACGTGATCCTGTGTACTCTGTGAGGTCTGCATCAAAAGTAAGGCGCTGGCCAACGATCGAGACCAGGGCACATACCACGATAAAAACCATGGTATCTGAGAAAGGGACAGAGCCACACCGGTTTCACACTCTTGACTCATGAAGAACATGGAAAAGTTGTTGCCATCACTTTGCTGTCTTCGAGAGAGAGAGAGAGAGACTTTGAACAGCTTTGGACTGGCAAAATCCACCTGACCTCATCTACGATCAAATCTAGGATCAAATTGTGTATATGCGTTGATTGCTGGAGGAAACTAGCTGCATTCCGTGCCTATGGCGCTCTTGCCATAAAGATATGTAATTTGCACTAAGCCCATTGGGCAGCACCTGAGCTGAATCCATCTCTTGGTGAATGGATGTAGCTTGAAGCAGCTTGAAGTGGCTTGAAGTGGCTTGAAGTGGCTTGAAGTCTTGGAAAGCACATGAGATCTCACATGTTCACCTGAGAGCGCTCAGATTGGCACATGCCTTGCAGGAAGCCAACAGCAGCACTCTTCACATCCCTGTTGGATTGAGCTGTGTGGCACTGTGTGGCACCTGGTCTTCAATGTCTTTCATCTAAAAAAGTAGGTATCACATGGTATCACTTCATCAAGCGTCTGACGTTCAGCTCCTGAACACTTCGATTTGCTTCAAAAAGTTGACTGCTCTCTACAGGAACAAGAGGGAAGCTTCGTCAGCGCATGCGATGCTCATGCTGCTGGATGTCTTCCACTCGCCACTCCCGATGTGGAACCCTCGGTTCCGCCTACCATGCATGTGATCATTTCCAATGAGAGGCGCTGTCTCCGCACTCTCTCCATGCATCTCCTGGAGACGATTGCATAAATCCAAGCATTGCGCATGGAACGCATCCTTATGATACATTGTCAATGATTGTATTATTTTATCATTATATGTTTACATTAAATTGAGTTGTATAGCATATAGCCTTATAACTTAAACCTCACAGTGGCCTATTGATACGCCATAGTACGACTACAAAGGAGTACAAGGTCAAAGGATGTCAAAGGCGTGTGTCCTCGTCGTCTGAGTGGTTCTTGTCCTCAGAGACTCGCAACTGGTAGAGCAAAAGACCCCCAACTGCGAAACATTTGTGGAGACTCTATGGAGACTCTATGGAGACTCTGTGCATACTCGGTGCGCTGGGTGAAGACACTTGCTCATGATGTTTGTTGGAAAGCAGCTCTCGACAGATTTCAATTGCCCAGCTGCCGAATAAGAGCCACAGAGTTTTGTTTTTTGATCCTGCCAAGGAGCGTTTGCGAGACTGAGGGAAGTATGACAGCTCCAGTCAAATTTGGCAATGAGTGTCCACTTGTGTGCTGCTTCAATGCAACTAATACTGATGTGGTAAAACTATGTAAAAATGCTCCGCAAGCAAGAGCATCACTTCTATTGGGATCTTTTGCAAGCACATTTGACTCACGTGATGCATTGTGACACCATATGCAAATCATATGACAAGATCTGACAAGATCTGACAAGATCTGACAAGATCTGACACAATGATTCAATCAGATTTAATCATGCCCTGGAGCACGGTATGAAAATGCTCCGCGGGCGGACTATGGCAACAGGGGCAGCTCTTGACTGTCTCTTCGCCATCTGCATCCAAGGTGATGTACTTGTCCCTGAAAGCGAACAAAAAGCGAACAACGAACTCCTGACTTTTGTATATTTTTGTCGCATTTTGTCGCATTTTGTCGCATTTTGTCGCATTTTGGTCACTTCGAACTGATACTCGCCCAAGTTCAAAGGCAAGCGACTCTCGGCAGATGAAGTAGATTGCAACCAGGATCATGGAAACACCGATTACATAGTCCTGCTAAAATTTAAACTGCAGCTCTCCAGAAGACTCAATAGCTCACAGAATGCTCACAGTAAGGCACAGCAAAAAATGGACAAAAAAAAACATGTCTTGCAGAGTCTTGCAACATTCCATAACTGCCATAGCTGCCATAACTGCCATAACTGCCATAACTTTCTTCGCAGTCCCCATAGAACTCATAGCCCTCAAGATGGACTCCAGGAATGTTGCTCAGTGCGTAGATCACCGCAGCAATCTGCGCCAACGACAACGACAGACACATCTCACCGCGCAAAGACGACATGGCGCTGCGCTAAAATCCTTTTGTTGCCTACCAAAGTATCGTCGCACAAGACACTGAATTCACATGCAAGAAAAAAGTCAACTGTTCCAAGTTCTAAACCATCTGACTGACCATAGAGTGAACAGTTTAATATTGGTAAAGCAAAGATGAGTGCAGTCAATGCCAAAACAAAATAGCAAGCATTTCTATCATTTCTCTGGGAAGGACATGTTGGCGATGACAAAGATGAAGTTTGCTTTGCTCACGGATTTCCGGATTTCCATGGATTTCCCAACCGTCAGCATCCCGCATCCCGCCATCACGATGCCAAGACAATGCCCAAGGCCCCAGGAAGCGCCAACTTTGGCAGCTGCCAGCGGTGGCATCAACCTGACCAGGTCCCAAATTCACGGCAACACAACTTCATACAACTTCTAGATGCGGATGTTGCCACATTGTGGAAACTTGATGAAACTTGCATTGCCACATCTTGTACTTTTCTTTAGAAAAGTTTAGGAAAAGTTTAGAAGTTGACTCTGATTTTGCTGTTTACTCTTACTTTTGAGAAGATTGCCTTTCTACGATCACGTGTTGTAGCAGTGGAAACACTATCACGTGGCGCTTCAGAAGGCAAAGTGGGAATGTTAGAAAATGTTAGAAACATGGCGAAACTCTTCCTTTCAGTAAAGGGTGGAAGCCAAGCAGCGCGCTGAAAGTCACAAGCGTTGCCAAGTGGTCAGGGCCCAATGCATGAAGACCACCGCACACAAGACCCATGCTGCCGGCATGCAACAAATGCGAATGTTCCCTCAGTGGTCGCGGTCACAGTCACCGTATCTGTTTGCTTTCACACTCCCAATGCATTGGATTCAGTGGACCTAGAAACAATTTTGGATCGAAACAATTTGCACAACATGCATCAACACACTGTCTCACAGATTGTGCAAACTGATAAAGCGCTTCTGACTCAAGCGAAATATAGCGAAACTCTCAACATCTGATAGGCTCCAGATGGCTCCAGTTTCCTTCTCCCCACCTTACATCTCCCTGTCTTGCTGACCAGTGACTTCTACATGTTTCAGACCAAACTCTGGGACAACCCTTTGATTTCCTTTTGAGAGATGTATCTTGACAAGAAATCAGAAGAAAGAATAAGAAAGCTAGATACGATTTGACAAGAACTTCAAAGGCGTCTCCCTTTGGAAGATGTTGGAAGCAAGCGGCGAAGTGAACATTGTCGACTAAAACCTCAGTGGATTGGAAACCGACCCATGTGGAAGGGCTGATCGACCCATGTGGAGAGCGCAAAGCGAAATTCTGCTCGTTTCTTTGGTCGCCAAAATCCCTTTGGACACTTTAGACTGATGCAACTGAGCAATTCCAAATAAAGGACAAACACAAAAGTCAAACACTTTGGACACTTTAGACACTTTATGATTATGTTTGATGATGTTTGATGATGTTTGATGATGTTTGATGATGTTTGATTGTGTTTGATTGTGTTTGATTGTGTTTGATCCAGGATCATGTGCATTGATGTGCAACATTGCTAGATGCTTGCGATGCTGGGACCAAAAGCAGCCAAGCTGCACAAAGCACCGAGAACACGACCTCAGCAAAGCAGAAACTCGGAAACCACAAACGACTGAAAGGATTTGATATTTCAAACGAGATCAAACGACTGAAAACACAATGACAAACGATATGACACACCATGCCTAGATGTTTTCCCTAAATCTGGATGAGTAGGCAAAGTATGACAAAGTAAACTAATGTATACTAATGTTAACCATATATTTATCATTCCAAGTCAATTCCAGCCACTGAGATGATGCTGAGCAACCCGACACACAACACAACACAGTTAACGCGGTTATCTGATATAGAGATAAGGCGTGGCTGGCCTCGCACATTTGAGCCAAGGCTGCCAGCAATCATGGATTGAAGCCTCGGAAACATGGAAAAAGGATGGAAAGGGATGAATTAAATGAAAGGGGATGAAAAAACATGATGCACCCGGATGGAATCGTACGCTGGAATCTGATGGAATCTGTTCCAAAGCCTGAGAACTTTTCTCCAAGTGTCCCCAGACACTCTGGTGACCGGCATCAGACCATCTCGGTCGGTGAAACCAAATCATTGCCTTCCAAGCAAAACTGAGAATACTGTAGACACTATGTAGACACTTTAGACTCTGCAGACGAGCAGTTTCCAAACGCTTTCAGATGTTTGTAAAGTCGTTTTCTGGGTCTTGGACTTGCAACTTAACATGACGACTTGCGCTGTGGAAGCCCTGTACTGTAGCTCTACGGCGTGTACGGCGAGTGTATGGTATCTGTGGGTTTTTGCCCAAGCCCATCAGCTCTGCACGCAGGGAAGCCCCAAACTGTGATGGAACATCAACAAAACAAAACATATCAAAACCGCTAAAGACTTTTTCAGCCTTTCAGCTCACAAAGCTCTGGCCGTGACAGCTAAAATACTAGTTGGTTGGCTGGGGGAATTGGGAATGCGCAGTGTCATCGCCAGTTCCAAACTTCACCGTCCAAGCAGAATCCAGGCATTTTTATCTTGCACACTACGGCGGTACAATGGATTTCAATAATGGAAGCAACAAAAATGCCTTAAAAGGCTGACTGTTGGGGAAGCCATACACAGCACATCAACGTTCAAAACTTTCAAGCTGGAATAAGCGGGCAATTGACCCATGCAAACACCTTGTTCGCATTTTGAATGTTTCGTGGTGGATTAGTAAGGTGTTTGAAATTGTTTGAATGTCTCCGGGGGAGGAGGATTGATTCGAAAGATTTAAAATCAAATTCTTTACATGTATTATCTGTGGTCTAGATATTCCATACACCAGTACGGATCAAAACTGATGGGTGCCACTTACAATTTTCTTGGTTCTATCTGTTTAACTCAGTCTTGTAGAAGTTTGACCATACTTGACCCTTGGTGCAGAAGTTGCAGGCTGTGACTCCTGGCAGCCGAGCCTAGTAGCTCGTAAAAGATAAGATCAGATTAAATATGATGAGCACAGAAGCTGAACCTGCAAAAGTCAAATTGCGCTCTTCTCAGCGTTCAGCACATTGATGCAAAACATCTTCCTTTCGGAGCAACTAGACAAAATTGAGTACAGTACAGTCTAGAGATGTCTAGAGTCTAATTATAGTTCGTTTCACACAGTACTGAAGCATCGGAAGAGAATCGCTCTCTGTCGCAGCTCCAGCTTTCGTACTGCAAACCCAGCTGTGAACCCCTTCTCACAGCAGGCAGCAGCACAAGCACTACCCAGAGACCTGCAGTTCTCGAGAGGATCCATATCACTTGATATCTTTGGACACATATCAATGACACCTCTGGGATTTCAGTCAGCTTCTCAAAGTATCTGCAGATTCAAATTTGTCTCTGCTCTTCTGTTTGGGCACTAGGACGAACCGAGCACCGGAGTGTCCGTCTGGAAGTTGCGCTTGAACAAATCTTGAGATGCGTCTGAAAAAGTTGGAACATCTTGTGAGTCAATGTCTATATTGGCTCATATTGTTTCCCCGATCACCTAATCCAGAAGTTACACCCTGCGGGTGGTGGTCTAGCGGCCACATGTCAAACTGGGATGGCTATTGAAGCGACTGGTGACCCAGTTTGAGCGACCAGTTTGGCTACTAGTCGGACTTATTTCGCACAAGGAAGAACAACTAATTTCTGCGAGAGTCTCATTGTCTTTCTGTGCAGCTGATGTAATCAGCAAGATGGATAGGGAGGATGAAACTGGAAACAGTTCCAAAACGTGGATGAAGACAGAAACCAATGCAAAAAGACATGGCTGAAAATCGAGACAAATAGGTAGCATTGATGAAAATGCAAGCAAACAGAAAATATCGAAGAACAAACCAATTTCAACAAACCTGTTCCTATAGTCATTCTCGGCAGTTCTTGATGTTCTTCCAGGTGCTTAAACGAGCTTCTGAATCCTGGTCGGAAGCAATGCTGAAACTGCATGTGACACTTCCTGCCAAGTAGCCGTGGGCACCGTGGGACTACATTGTGACTACATGAAATGGTCTGTCCGACTGTCCCGTTTTCAAGATCTAAAATATCCAAACGCCAAGAAACATGGCAAACATGATCAAACATGGCATTCTTCTCATGTTCCAAGTAAACCCTCACGGTCTGCCAACACATCATGGATGACAGTGACTTGGCCATTGGATGCCATTGGCCAACCTTGCGAGTCGACAAGCGTCTCTAAAACGTCTCATCAACGTCTCACCTGTCCTTTCTCCACCACAGGTCGTTAGCCACAACACGGTTGGAAAATTCAAATCGAGGCCATTGACATCGAAGTCGTTGTCTCATGCTGTCTCATGTCGTCACGCTCTGGCAACAACCTGTCTTGGAAAAAGCTTGAAAGCTTGAGCCTTTCTCATCCTCTCTCTCTCTCTCTCTGCTTCACAACATTTCACCATAGACCAATTTTGCCAATGTGGTCTCAAATTTGCAACACTCTCACTTCACCATTTTTTGCCCTGCGCCTCAGACGTTGAGAAAACACTCTAACCAATCCAGCTGCGTCTAAGTGATCCATGTCATAATTGTCATAGCTTAAAATTGGACCACTTGACAGACATCTATCAAGACTTAACACCAAGCAAACGCATCCTTCGTCTGGAATGGAAATGCCAAAAGGGGACAGTATCGAAAAATGTGCGATCTGACCGTAAAGATCCGTAAAGCGTTTCCGGCCACCAAAGAAGCACACCGTCACTAAGACGCCAACACGTGGGTTGCCTTGCCACTTGTTCCCTGCGTTGCCAGGAATAAAAACCAAAACAAGACTGATAAGACTGAGACGGATTGTGGATAAACAATGATAAACATTTGGATGTCATAATTTGGATGATTTTGTCATTTTGATGTGGAAAACATTGGAAAACTTCGTCGCATTTCGTCGCCTTTTGGGCCTTGGCCTCTGCGCCTCCTCGCAGCCTCTCTGTGAGATTATTGAACAAGACGCGGACAAAAGCCGTAGAATCCGTAGAAAGGTGTGGAAATAGCTTTTAAATATGTTTTAAATGCTTTTAAAGTGGGAAAATACAAGCAAATGCATGCAAACAAGAGGATTTGGGAGAGAAGAAAGCCCAGGAGAGGTATTGTCACTCTTTCAATAGCTGAGATGAGGACTGTCTGAGCAGCTCTTGACCGCTCGAAGCTAGAGCCTCACAAGCACCACCCCGCATTGAATAAACGCTTGGAACATCCTGGAAATCTCTTCAAATCGACGCTACAAAATAGATCAACATAGTACAACGGCCCGCGCCTGCCGCTGAGAATCACCCCCTTCCTCACTGGCAGTGCTTGGTGTGATGTGGCCTGCAAGGCACAGGAAAGTTGGACATTCTTCGGAATGCCAAGCATCTGACATGTGCTGAACAATCCAAACGCGGCAAGTCCGTACAGGCCTTCGGCTGGCCTGCGCAACGTCTCAACATGTCTCAACTCTGAAATAGAATCCGGTGCAACATGGCACGACATGGCACAAGCTGCAAGTCCCAGCGTGGCGACCAGGCCTCGACTCCTGTCGCAACAAGTTGACCGAACTCACTAGCAGTCACTAGCCATGTCGGGCCATGTCGAAAATCAAAATGGAGCATTTGAATTCAACATCATTCAACCGGGCGACAACTGGGCGACAACTGGGCGACAACTGGTTCACATCGACTTCCCATGTCCTCCTTTGCACCTCCCTTGAGAAGCTGCAGCCTCAGACAGTCCATGCCTAGCCTCCAACCTGCACCAAAAATCGCCAAAACATAGAGATGATCTCAGCATATCTCAGCCATCTCAGGTAGGGGCAGCATGGCTCCCGCATTCTCCTCGCACGCCAAGGGGACCTACACCTACCATCATCTACCTATCCATATCGGTCCATATCCATCACCTACCCGGAGGACCCGGAGGATCCGGAGGACCTCGAAACGCTGGAGCTGTCCTCAGGAGTCTCACTTTGCCAACCAGTGGACCTGGGGATTCGGTCTGCGGATGCGCGCCCTCAAAACATCTCCATGAATTGAATGTTCTCTTGCAGAAATTCTCATGCAGTCAATGCAGTCAATGCAGTCAATGCAGTCAATGCAGTCAATGCAGTCAATGCAGTCAATGCAGTCAAGCTTCGGCCGATCTGACGCAGTCGTCGGGCTCTGGCAATCTGTGTTCACCACTTCGCCTCACGATGTGCAATCGCAACTTGGATCAAATGTGGAGAATTGTAGAAGTCTGATGAAGTCTGATAAAGTTTGATGAAGTGAGTTGCTGTATGTTGCTGTATGTTACTGTGGGGCGGATGATTGAACCTGTTTGGTCTCCATTTTCGAATCACATCATCATGAGATATCATGAGTCTGACAGGAGTCTGTCAGGCACTCTGAGATCTCTGAGCTTCAGCACTGAGCTTCAAAATCATGGGCGACAACGTCGCATATCCGGCAGTTCCATAGTCCGACGGCGTGGCTCCGAAATTCAGGTGTTGGACCTTACTGGAAATCGGCAAATCGTCAAATCCACTGGAAATCGGCGACTTGAAAACCTGCTTTTTGAGAAAGCTCTCTGACTGAGACAAGTTGCACAAGTTGCACGGTATGTCTCGGATCCTGGTGCTAGCTCAGGGCCCTCGCAGGAGAGGGAGTGACTCCATCACTGTTGTGCTCTCCCTCGGATCAAAAGTGAACAAAATTGTATACAAAATGTCTCTGCACATGCTGCAGGAAGATGCAGGAAGATGCAGGATGCAGGAAGTGGACATTGGCTGCAAAGGCACAACGGCATCTCCCTCTGAGGTCAGAATCGATACTAGCCCTGATCCCAGTGCATTCAGATCCAATGCTGTAGTATGCTGTAGTTGTATTCATTTGATTTCATTTG